TGTGTGTCGGAAACCTCTCCGATGCCTAAGTCAGTAGGCTTGACAAATAGACAAAAGCTCTATGTATTCAGAAAACAAAGTTGTGTTACCTCTCCAAAGGTGATATTGTGAGCTTTTATAAGTTTCGTGTGGCACAATCCTAGTAGGACTTTTACTCCTCCATGTAGAGTCCTCCTAGGATTCATACTTCTGAAAGATAATGCTTATCCTTCAACACCCCCCTCACTGCTTAAAACAAGTGAGATGGTTCTACCATGGTAGGTTTCTAATAGGACCGAGGTAATCATGCCTATGCTGAGCCGCAGAGTAGGCCGAACTATTCTTAGTTCGGTTCTTCCTTTCACTACACCTTATCTCGGTTCTCTCATGTACAAACCATGGTGTGATTAGACCGAGCTATCGAATAGTAAGGTTCTGACCGTTCTAACCACAATACGCCATGACCGGGCTAACTCTGAGACCAGACTAACTTCAAAGCGTCTTTAGACCGGACTAACTTCAAGTCTCCTCCGGACCGGACTAGCTTCGGGGCTCTAGGACCGGACTAACTTCAAAACCTTTTTACTCAGCCCTTCGTATTGTGGCCCATGACGGCCCATTACCCAGCTCGGCCCAATTTTCATATAAATTACCCTCGGAACAAGTAATGAGGGTATTTCTTGCGTTCACAGTGGCGAATGTCAACCAATATTCGTAGTTCGAATACTCCATTGTGTATCTACATTAGTTGAAACAGATAATAAAGATAGTTTTTTAAAATGAGTTTGTTAAATCTCCAATCTTATTTGCTTGTATATTTTGCAGATATATAGGCCAATACTATCTTTCAAAATTAAAAACGGAGCCTCTATTTTAACCGAGTAAACTAAAGTCTTTTATGGTTCAAAAATTTAGTAAATTTTGTAAACGGTATAAGTCCGTTCTATTGAATGATTGAGGAGTTGCTTGGAAATTGGTTGCAACCAACAATTGCATTCAAATTAGTTTATTTTTTCAATAAAATAAAATATTATCTTCAAAGTCTCTCATCTTTTGAGAGAGAGAGAGAGAGAGAGAGAGAGAGTGATTGACCATTAGCTAGCCTATGCAGTTGAACATCCGGTGTATTTATATTTTAAAATTTAGTAATTAAGATCAAGGGATCAATTCTTATTAAAAACAAAAAAATAATACCTGTGTTTGGTTTGGAATTTTTTGAATTCAATTTTTTAGAAATTGAGTTTTTTATTTTTTATAATTTTTTTGTTCTTAGTGAATATATTTAAAATTTTAAACATTTTTTTATATATTTTTAGATACACCTCACTTAGATGTACCTTAAAATAAAAATATTTTAAAAAATTAATAAATACACAAGAATACAAAAAATATACTGAATTCTCATTTTTTTTTGTATTTTTTATATTTAGTGAATTTTCTAAAAAAAAAAATTCCCAAATATTATACTTTTTAAGTGTATTTATGTTAAGTTTATCTAAAAATTAAAAAAAAATTACTTAAAATATTAAAAAAATTCAGTGAAAATAAAAAAATACGGAAAATAAAAAATTTCAATTTTCTGAAATTTTCAATTTTCTCCATCTCCAGACTCCAATTTCTATGGTTGTTTGATGCAGCGTGTGAGCTTAACTTCTTCATGCTTTAACTCAATTGCTCTTGAACAATGCTCTCTTTTTTCTTCTCTAAAAAACTATCCCCCATCCATAGATTTGTCAATGATTCATGGTACACTCAACTCCGCATCAAAAAATCATTCACAGCAGTCCTTTGCACTTCAAACAATCCTTTTCCTCTTGGTTCATCTATGAAACCACCACACAAAGCAGAGCTATTCAATTTATATTATTGATTTTCAAGATTTAGCGCAGAGGAAAAAATAACTCTGTAATATCAGTAAAAACTTATTATGATATATCAAAATCGAACTCGGTATATGTGGTGGCCGAATATAAAAAGCTACAATTTGGAGCCATTTGCAAGTCGGCTCTTACGGGCCGACTAACAGTGGCCCGCATTGGCCAAGTAAGCTTACTTTTATAGCTGAGTATGTTGTAGATCATACGATGGAAATGAGGGTTCAACTGCAAGGGTAGGGTTTCTATAAATCAGAAGGTGGGCCCTACAAGAGTATTATAAAAGGAGGAACATCAGCCAGAAGGAAGGTATGTGAAAGAGAACTAGATAACTTGAAGTAGAAGTAAACTTGAGAGAATACTGACTTGCTTGTCGGAGTGCTAATTCTGGTACCCCCGACCAGAGTGTTCATTTCTTTTAGGCAGCAACCAAAGGATCAAATAGCGTTTGCCTAGATCAGAGAGCATTTCCAAACCACTTCACCACATTGGCGCCGTCTGTGGGAATACTCAAGCGTGTCCATGGCAGGTGTGACAAATGATCCTTCGATAGTTGTTAATGATGTTACACCAAGAGATGACATTACTCTAAGAAACATGCTTGGACCGGAGAATATCACCGCGGCCTTGAACTTCGACCCAATAGCTCAGACCTCACCCTCAACTTCTGTGCAGGAGACTGTCCAGATGATCATGGATCAAGCAAAACGAAACGAACAGCGTCTAGAAGATATGATGGCTGAGAACGAGCACTTACATAAGGAATTGGCCCTGGAGTTAGCCGAATCCCAATAGGCCGCACGCCATGACTGGGGTCGATCCCCAGAAAAGAAGAAGGATGATTGACGACGTCGACTTCAGAAACATGATAATAGCAGTGATTCCGACCCATCATCCCAGGAAGCCAGAAAGAAGGGGCGAGTTGATGTATCCAGTTCATCTGAAGGAAGTCCATATGTGCGGCACAGGCGAGGGAAAGGAAGTGATGATTCGGATGAAGAAGACAAGCTCGGCCCTTTTGTACGACGCATTGCAAGGGCTGTGCTGCCTAAAAAGTTCAAAGCACCGACGTTCACCCTATATGACGAAAAATCAGATCCCACTGACCACATTCGTCATTATAAACAAACGATAACGTTGCATGCTGATGTTGAAGCCCTCATGTGTCGAATGTTTCCAAGTAGCCTGGGATCGTTGGCCGTCAGATGGTACTATAAACTGAAGCTGGCATCAATAAGAAGCTTTCATCAGCTCCAAAAATCCTTCAGGACAAGATTCATCACTAACGAAGTTCAGCCAAAGCAAGCCGACTCTCTCTAGACAATGCAAATTAAGCCAAAGAGACTCTCCATGAGTATTTGGCGCGCTATTGGAAGTGTTTCAACTTGGTGGATGATGCCTGCAATGATTCGATGGCCATTACTGCCTTTAAGATGGAATTACACCCTGATAGTCCACTCCACAATTCATTGACCAGACGGCCTCCCAAAACAGTCTGGGCACTGATAAAGAAAGTTGAAGAGTACTGTAAGGTGGAAGACAATGCCCTATGAGTCAAGGTCGGACATAAAGTCATTAAGTTAACTCCATCTGGTCTGGTTCAGCCGATAAGCGTCGTGCCATGAAGGAGTCCCGAACCTCAGAGGAAATAGATAGAGTTATTTAGAAATCAAGACCCAATTAAATTTGGCTGATGATGATTTAGTTAGATTGCTATTGACGCCTCAATTGTGCGCATAATGAAGAGTCACAAAGTTTTGGGTCATCAACAATTAGTGATGGAATGTGTTGAGCAGTTAAGCTGTATGTTCAAGGTATGCCATTCCTCAAATATGTGAAATACAACCAAAAAGTTAGCATTTGGTATCATTTTCATTTTCTGCTTTATGTTCTTAAAACAGAATAAAATGGCTACTTATATGTAAAACATATTTGACATTGTTTCCAATTTTTTTTATGAAAACACCCCTTTTTATGATAACCTTTTAAATTGATTTTCGCTTCAAGATATGGGGGTTGTGAATTTGCTCCCAATAAAAGGATAGAAAAGACATGGTGGTTGTGTTGCATCTTTGATTATAGTCTGGCCACCTACAAAAAGACGGGAGTCTCTGGCTCAGGCCAACTCTATTGCTTTTTACACTTGAAGTAGTTATAGTAAAATTTCAAAAAGCGAAAAATAAAACAAGGAGGAGGAAATTTTGGAAGTTTGGGCATATTTATATGTTTTGGGTGAGAATGTTAAATGAAGCCCTCAATAAAAACAAGAAGCAATGGGATGTCTGTGCTTCAAAAATAGAAGACAACTGGAAAGAATTTTTTTTCTATTTTTTGAACTCAAGAATTTGACAAGGTTGATCACACTTCTTTCCTTCCCACACTTGGATTGTTAAATTGTTGAAGAGAACCCAAAATCTATTGTTCGGATCTTGATTCTTTGATTCAAGGATGGGCACCAGTCTCTCATGTTAGCTCCACCAAAGCTGAAGGTTCATGTCATGGTTTGGGATTTGAATGTCTTTAGTTATTTTTTTGTCCCCAAAATTTGTTAGTAATTTTTTTTTTAAGAACTTTCTCAATCCGCTAAGTATGAAGGATCTAAAAAGTACATTCTTATATAAAAATAATAAAAAATTCACTAAATACAAAAAAAAAGGATAAATTACGAATACATATCTTGAAGTTTGCTTAAAATATAAATTATTTCCTGTGGTTTGAAAAATTACAAAATTCATAATTACTCTCCTAAACAATAATAAAATTACCTAAATTATTAATTGAAACATATTTTTATTATTATTAAAAACTGTTAATTAATTTGATAATTTATTAATAAAAAAGGCGATTTGTTATGAAATTAAAAATCTCAGGAGGTGAAATATAATTTTCAAAAGTACAAGAACAATTCATATTTTAATCAAATCTCGAGGGATGTATTTATAATTTACTCAAAAAAGAATAAAAAAAAAATCCTAGTTCATTGAGTAGAAATGTGAATTTTTTTAATTTTTTTTTAAAAAAATCACTAAAAACGAAGGGGGAAAAAAGATCAAAAAACAAAAACAAAAAAAGTCAATCCAAAACCACATTTAAGTAACAACTTCACATCAATTATAAACTAGTGTTCTAATACCCGCGTGCAGTAAGTTTGAGACGAAACTTTTGTCATGTAGAATGAAACAAATGGCATGTTTGTACATATAATGAGACAGTGATCAAGTCTCTGTTTATCTATTGTATAAAATCTACTAAAAGAAAAGAAAGAATACAACAGAAGAGATTGGGGGTGTGAAAATGGAGCACTTCATAAGTTGATGTTGATACCACAACAGTAGTTCTACTTGTTTACCTGTAACCAAAGATCCTATTTAAACACCGTAAAGCAAAGCAGTATTAGAGAATGAGCTATAGGCCAAAATAACATTATATATAAAAATATTCCCGATATACCACTTTTCCCAAACTAATTCCAAAATTGTTGCAAGTTCTGTCAAATCAGGCATTTGGAGCCTATGGATGTTATAAGTGGGATGGATTTGGTTTGTTTATTTTGGGTATAATGCATTGAGTTTGAATTTGGCGATAAGCATCCTGTTTGGAGTTAGAGCATTTACAACTTTAGACATAGAAGAGAAAGAGGAGAGAGGAGAGAAAAGAAGGGGTATTGAAAAATAGAGTCCTTTATGTTATGGGGATGAAATTCCTAATGAGGCCTATGGTTGGATGGGAAATCAAAACAACGAGAACAAGAAATTTTGCCTTTGGAGCTTCCAACTTCTTGTTTGCAAATGAAAGGACCACAAAACAAAAATAAAAAAGAACAGGTTTTCATCCTAAAAAGTCCATATTATGGAAATTTTAATACAATTCAATTAGGGAAATATACTTTATTTTGATAAGATGCGACACTTTCATTAAAAATGAGAAAAAAATCAGTAAACAAATAGGCAAAAACTTCATACTAGTAGCTACTAGTAAAGAATTAGCTAAAGAACAACTTCACTTGTTAGATCAGCAACAATGTGATGATATGAAGCACTGGAACAATTTGTGTATTTCTATCGATAGCCACCAAATCAAAGAGAGAAACAAAATGAGTACATAACTTAGTACAGCCGGCCAAGAGTTCAACATAGGTAATTATGAATTTCATTAACCATTTGAAAAAGATAAATAAGAAAACTCACTAAGGCGGTGTGAATTCTACAAATTTGATTGGTATGATACAGATGTACAAAGGCACTGAACTGTTAACACCTGTTTCTTAACAGATATTACGTGATGCAGCAGAAAGATCCAGGTCATCCTCTTTTCTTTTCTTCCTTAATGATTGTAAACTGGAGGAAAAAAATTGAAAACTAGAAGGAAAAAAACCAAAGAAACAAAACTCTTCCTTGGTTTGACATAATCTCAACTACGAGTTAACGACTAATTGCTTCCATTGCCAACCATACCAAACGTAATAATCTGTCCACATCTTGGAAGCTGAAATCAAGAGCCCTTTTAACAGAAATTATATCTTCTCTGTGCTGAGCCCTTTTAATAGAAGTTATACCTTCTCTATGCTGAGCCTCTTCCATTATTGTATTCGCAGCTGCAAAAGCAATTTGAGATTTCCTCGAGGCTTCCATTGCAAAATTTACATCCCATAGCTGCAGATATTCACCTTTTAAGAAGCTAAAAGCAAAAATAATATATATACATATATATATATATATATATTAGGTAGGAAGGCCATGGTTTGTGTGTATGTGGTACTCGCCCCTGATGACTTTCAAGATAGTATAGAATTTGAGTTGAAAGTAGAGAAATAGTTTAAATTGAAAGTAGTAAGTTCACAAGAGCGTAGAGTTGGAGTTGGAAGTAAGTAATACACAAAAGAAAAACAATTTAATAGAATTCTCAAGTTTACAATTGCTTTATTAGTTTGGTTAAATGATGCCTCACATATTAATAGACCTTCAAATATTCTATACAAATGTCAACAACCCAATGGTGTGGAAACTTTCTAGATTCTTCCATCATAACCAAATGATTGCCTCTCATATTTACAGACGTTCAAGGCTTTAATTGATAGTCCAGATATGTATAAATATCAATAATATAGTAGTATGAAAGCTATCTAGATCCTTCCACCACCTTATGGTGGAAAATTTCTACAATTATCTCCCTAATTATAGGGATTTCTACAAAATTTTACATCAATGTAGAATCAAATTCGTAACTCAAATATTTGATAAAATTCACAAGTTGTGACATTATCCCCACCTAATACAACCACATCCTTAATGCACATTCTTCGTGAAGGCTTTGGATATTCTCTTTGAATTGTTGTAGGAGTTTTGCTAACTCTCAACTTGTCAATTTCAAGTAGTCCATTCCATTTTCCTTGGTATTTTTAAGACATCATTGGAATTCCTACTGATTCCAAACTCTTAAAATATCCAAATTCAACCTTTTAAATCTCCAAATTCAAGACTTAGTAGTATAATTTTCTCTCAATAAATGCAAACTATAAAGATAGCATTGTAAGCAAGAGACAAAATTATTTACGATTGACCCATATAAACACTAACTTTATAGCCAGTCAATAAAGAGATGACACATAAGCTAGAGAGTGGACTCTCTGATAGTGGGATTGATCTCTCAAATTAGTCAGTCATTATGGCAAGATACTGATCCAAAAAATATATTTTGTAAGTGGGTTGAGGAAAGATTAAAAACAAAGAACAACTATGAGTTGCTTGGACTTTTTGGTGATTCAACATCACATTGTTGTCCTCGAACCCCTTACGGCCATTGATGGACACCTATTAATGACTTCATAATTTTATGAGACTATTCCTTTTGAATGAAAAACATGGAATTAATATGCCCAATGACTGAGGAAGGAAGGGGCATATTTTTGAAGATTTAATTTTAATTTCTACATTTATATTTTAAATTTGTTGATAGAAATGGCAAAGAAAAAAAAAAGAAAAGAAGAAGATAAAAAGTTCATAATTCTAAAAGTTGGAGAATAACAAATGTCTTCAAATAATAATAAGTTTGAGAAAACTTCACAACAATTTCCGTGTCTTCATTTATTTTTAATTTTTTATATTTTAATTAAAAAATTATTTATTTTGACATACCTAATATAAAGGGTAAATTATAATTTAACCCCCTTTGGTTTACCCCAAAAACACAGAACCCCCATGTAGTCTCATTTGTAACACTTAAATCCCTAGACTTTATATCATGTTGTAATTTTTGACGGACGTAACAGAAGTGCACAAAACGACGTCGTTTTGTGCACCGCTAGATTAAAAAAAAATTTTAAAAAGAGAGAGAGAGAGAGAGAGAGACAAACACTCTCCCTTTCCCTACAATGGCCAAAACCAAAAACCCAACAAAATCCACCAAGAAAAACCAGCCCATGATTCCATAGCTTCTGGCGAAGCTAGTGTCTCTCCATCAGGGAATCAAATAGTTCTTCCAAACCCACCACCAGAAAAAGAAAAGAAGAGAAATCTGCTCGGAATGCCAGGTAAAATCACCAAGCTAACCCTTCAAAATCTCTAATCGAATGGTGGTTCATATAATCACGTTGAATTGAAATTGTGTCCTTTTTATTTCTTTTTTAGATCCAAATGCAGAGGTGATTGCTCTATCCCCAAAGACTCTAATGGCAACAAATTGATTCATTTGCGAAAGCCATGGCCGCCGAGCTTTTTGTACTCTAGAACGATTGCGAAAGCAAAGGCTATAGAGAAAGAGAGAGCTTTGGCAGCTGTGGAGTCCTTGAATCGGATCGGAGTTGGGTAAAAGACATGGCCGATCAATCGAAGCGTGTCATTGGTGAGTTGGAGGAGACCATTGTTGTGGATCTCTACAACACCATTTAGGCTTATATTGTTGTTGTCGGTAGAACCCTTGAAGCCATTGTAGACGAAGCCATTGTTGAGCTGAAAAAGAACTGGGTTTGTTGAGAGGAAGAGAAAGAGCAAGAGAAAGAGAAAGATAAAGATTGATTTGGCCATGAAAGAGAGGACAGAGCTCAAGCACATGAGGGGGAGAGGACAGAGCTCAGAATATGTTAAGATGTAATATGACCTACTCTATTCCTGAGAGTGATTTTAGAGAAAATGAAATCTCTCTGGTTGCAATCTCTCTCTCTTTCCCCTAATTTTTTTTTTTATCAGGTGGTGTGCACTTCTGTTACGTCCCGTCAAAAATTATAACATGGTATAAGTCTAGGGGTTTAAGTGTTACAAATGAAACTACAAGGAGGTTTCGTGTTTTTAGGGTAAACCACAGGGGGTTATATTATAATTTACCCTAATAAAAATATTAAAATTTTAATATTTATGAGAAATATAAAAATTTTCACTAAAAAACAAAAAATATGAAAATGTGCTTATTTTTTCTTTTCTTTTATTTTTATTTTTAGTAAGCCTTTTTTTTCCCTTCAAAATTTCTTCACATTTAAAAAATAAATAAAAATTTAGCTGCATCTAGACTAAGTGTATTAAAAAAAAACAATAAATACAAAAATCATGAAAAACAAAAGCTAAAAAATAATTTTATTGTTTGAAAACCATACAATGTATTTCGGGTCTTTTACTAATGTTTTCATTGGTTCATTAGAATAAAATGATAATTTCTTCAAAATATTCATTCTCATAATTGGTAAACTAAAACATTATGAAGATCCATTGTAAACAAAATTATCATTTACCATTGTAAAATAATTATCATTTCATAGAAAAATAAGAATGACCATTCCATTCAATCTTTTTTCAGTGAACCAAATATTACTTTTTAGATTATTCTAAAAAAAAAAAAAAAAATTCTCTCACAAAATTAAATGAAATAAAAGATTAAATATATGATAGGAATTTTAAATTATAACGATCCATTTATTTGGGCGGAAAAACATTTTTCAGAAAATGTTTTCTGCATTTTCTGCCGTTTGGTATAACAGAAAACATAAGTCAATGGGAAATATTTTCTATGGTCAAGGGAAAACAAGTCTATTTGGACGGAAAATGTTTTCTTCTTTTAAAAGGCAGAAAACGTTTTCTGAACTAAAGTTTTAGTACCACTACATTACAACCACTACCATCACCTCCACCACCACTACAGCCACAACCACAGCACCACTGTTGCCCCCACCACCACAGCCACTACCACTATCATCTCTACCTCATTACTACCATTACCACCACCACCTCTATCACCACCCCCAACACCTCCACCCTACACCACTAATGCAACCATTAGTGCATTAATTTCACAAAACGTAACCAAACATAAAAAAAAAAAATATATTTTCTATGAAAAACATTTTATGAAAAAAAAATTCTATAGAAAATGTTTTTTGGATTTTTTTTTTTCAGAAAACATTTTTCGTCGAAACAAATGAAATGGTATTATATAATACAAGTTATATCATGTGCTAAATAGATAAAATAAAGAATTAGATGAAATAAGTGTACACTTTTTTATTATGTTTGATTATGATTGAATAAAAATGTGATTATTTTTTTTATTATTGGTGAATTACTATTGTGTTAATGATAATATGGTAATTAATGTGAATGTAACATTTTCTTTTTTAAATTTCTTCTTGTAGTTGTCAAATAATTTTTTTTAAACTCTAACATGGTTGAATTTTTAACAAAATAAAAATTGACACATAACTTGTCATTGTGAGGTAAATTGTAATTCTTAAATTGAAAGGTGGTGTTTGATAAAATTAAAAATTGAAAACTAAAAGCTGAAGACTGAAAATTAAGTAATAAAAATTAAATGCTAAATTTTTTAATTTAAAAAGTTGTTTAATTAAAAAATTAAGTGTCGAACTAAAACATATTGTTTAATATATACAAGATTAAATTTAAAATTTATTATTTTTAAGTTGTATTGCAACAACAGTGACGACAATATCAATGGTGATGAAGGTAAAGACATAGTGGTTCTAGTGATGGTGGATGGATAATGTAGTGGATGTAAAAAAGATGGCGACAATGGTGTAGTGATGGTGGTGGTTATGATAATGGTGACAATAGTTGTGGAGGTGAAGGGTAATTGTAATAGTGGTTGAGAGATGATGGTAATGCAATGGTGACTGTGATGGTGGTGTGGTGGTAGTAGTGAAATGATAATAGTACTTATACAATAATAACAATGGTGGAGGTTGTTGTGGTGGCAGCGACAGTAAGAGTGGTGATGGTAGTGACAGTGGCGGTGGTAGAAGTGGTGGCAACGAGGGCGGCGGCAGTGATGTTTTAACCATGTATGTTTGTACACAATTATTTATAAATTCAGTCAGAATTAAGTAGATATCATACCACTTAAATTTTTGTTAACTTTAGTCTATATTTTAAGAGCTATTTAAACTTTTAAGTGCTGCCCATTGTGATTATCAGATGGATTTAATTCATTTTCAATTAATGCATTTATAAATTCAATTAGAATTAAGTAAATATCATATCACTTAAATTTTTGTCAACTTTTAGTCTATATTTTAACAGCTATTTCTTACGTGATACCCATTGTGATTATCAAACGGATTTAATTCATTTTCACTTAATGCATTTAGTTTTAAGTATTGAATTAAGTTATTAAACACCAAGTGTCAATTTTCTATCTATCTTCTATACTATTATTCAGTGAAGGTTAAATTTGGTGTCCAAGCTTGTGGTTGATTCTCCTCATACCAAGTGTCCCTCATTTTTTAAAGGGAAAATTAGTGAATGATCCCTACCAAACTTTGAGTAGTAGAAGAGAAGCAATATATATTTTCTTATTAGCTAAGGCCCCTCACCACTAACCCAGCCAACTTTCTCTCCCATTTCCAACTCTCTCTCTCTCTCTCTCTCCTCGATGTTCATGGCCCAATCTGGATCGATGAGCATATCGCTAGTGGCTCGTTCGACCATAGAATTCACCATCTTTGCTTCAAATTTCAAACCCTATGAATGTCGGAGACGATCGAAATCTAAGAATCTAATCAATAATGCACTTTTTCAGCGAGATCACGACGAAATCCACGGAGGCACCAACTCTTTGCTTCGAATTTCAAACTCTGTGAATGCTCAAGACGATCGAAATCTGAGAATCTGATGAACCATACACTTTTCTGGCGAGATCACGACGAAATCCAAAGAGGCACCGATTCAATTTTAGTAGATCAAGCCGAAATCCAAAATCAAAGTAAAACAATTTGCTAACTCAAAAGTGAAAAACAGATTGAAGAGTCTTTAAACCACATTTCTCTCCTTTGTCTTTAACAATCTATTCTCTCTCTTGTTCTCTTTGTGTGTGAAAGTTATAAATTTATCTGTGGTTCAAATTTCTCTGTAGTTGAAATTTTTTGTGAAGTTGAAATTTGAAATTTCTCTCATCTCTCTTTAATAATATATTCTCTCTCTTGTTCTCTTTGTGTGTGAAAGCTATAACTTTATCTGTGATTCAAATTTCTTTGTGGTTTAAATTTTTACATGTGATTTTTAATTTTCTCTGGATTAGATGTATGGATTGGGAAATTAATTGGAATTGTTTTCAAATATGATTTTCTCTATGTTTTTGAGGAATAGTTAGCAATTTTTTGTGATTTTTTTCTGTGTTTAACATGCTTATAAAGTTTGTAATTTTCTCTGGATTTTTATTTGCAGGTTATAATTTTCTGTGGACATGCAAGTGTATGATGGCCAAAGAAGATCAACATGACAAAGAAATTTTCTCTAGTTTGAACTCAAAGGAATTTCAATTTTCTCTAGTTTGAATCCAGATAAATTCTTTGGGAGATCCAGAATTTCTCGGGGAAGTCTAGAGAATTTCTCTGGGATTGAAATTTCTCTAGATCGATATTGAAGGATTTTAGATATTATGAAAATATTGAATGTCCTTTATGCCATAAAATCTTAATACTAGGGATCCTGAAAAAAAAAATCCCCTTTTTAAATAAAAAAAATAGATAAATGAGAGGAGTCCCTTAAATCCTAAATTTGCTAAAAAATACACTTATCACTTGACTGATACACAATATATAATAAGTATTTTATTTTATTTTATTTTTACTTATTTGATTTGCACATATGTCGCATGTAGGAACTGTTAGTATTCCATAAAACAAACATAAGATAATTTAAGTAAACTAATAAAGAAAAAAACAATTGGAAAAAATCAGGCCTAATTAAAAAAGGCACATGAAACATATTTTTAAAATTCCATTGAAATCCTAAGTAAGGCTGGCATTTGATGAAAACAAATGGTCAAAATGGACAAAAACAACAAAAAGCAAGCCATGGCACGTTTACGTAAATGAAGGAGTCTCTTATATTATATTATAGATATATTAAACAGATATTCACCTTTTAAGAAGCTAAAAGCATATATATATATATTAAACTGAATTTCTACGTATACTTACAAAGTTGAGCAGCCGCACCAAACTGGGGCAGTTTCGTGCAGCAATAACATGGTTTGCAGCAACTTGAGGAGAGCTAACACCCTTGGTTAAGGGAACCTTGTCTAATGTTGTTGGGTTGTTTAAGTTATCAACGTCGGAGGCAGAGGAAGAGGGAGATTCACCTAATAAAAGCAACGATGGGAAGTAGGTCATCAACTAAAAGAACTGGTAGGAGCCTAGCATCTCATCTACCACAGCAAATCACCATCTTTAATATATGATAGAATGACAAAAATGAAAATCGCTAACTTTCACACAAAAGTAAAATGAGGCCACAATTGGGATAAAATTACAATGTACGCGAGGAAATATTTGATATTTGGATATTGTTACCTTCAGTATTCTAAGCAGAGAACAGAAGGAAAGAAAAATGTGAATAGGAGAATCTACAGTTGATCGATAACCTACACGTTTGTACTAGAAAGAAGATACCACAAAAGATTTTTGTCCAGCGCAATAAATTTCCTGCTCTGATATTTCTAGTTGCTTCAGTTTCTCTTATGGAAGTCATGATTTCAAATGAAATTATAGTACTTATTCATCGGCCTTTCCTCCTGTAAAGAGTGCAATGTCATATCATCACCAGATTCATGTAGAGAATTCCATTTCTAGATTTCAAATTTAAAGTTGAAGTGAAAAATATTAATATGCTTTTTAAATTTAAGAAATGATTGCAGGGATAGAAGTCTGATTCTAAATGATGAATTACACTTACCACATTTTAGAGTAGTTTCTTGTTCAATTATGATAGGTGGGGGAAAAAAAAATGAACTACAGGGCATGGGTTCCAATTCTTAGGAGATGAATTTGGACAAACAAAAAGTAGTGAAACTTTCATGTGAGATGAATAAAGAATTAAAAAAAAAATGTTCATCCAATGCCATATTTCTCTGCCCAAATACTAACATATTGAACAGATTTTCCGATCAAAATTTATTCTAATTACCAGGAGGAACTATTTGCAAAGCTGTCTGCAACTCATGCCGATCTCTGCTTGCATTGGTATGCGAGTAATAAATTACTCTCATATATGCCACCTCCATGCATTTGTAGGCCAGAGCAGCAGCAGCAATGTCCTTGGATTTCTCATATTCATGAGCACAAAACCTATCAATTTAAGAATGAATAGCAAGAAGACAAAGGAGAGGAAAATTGCATAAGCTTTTCACATTGCACGAAGAAGAAATCATCCATCAAAAATACAAGTAAAAGTTACTTTCTACCCTTCGTTTCAAATACAGTTCTGTAAAGAGTGATGCATTACAAATAGTGGGAAATGATCCATTACCACGGCGAATATATAGGAAAAATTCCTTTCCCCGAACTGGTTGAACAATATATGCACATGGTTATAAGAGAGGGTATAATGGAACTATAAAATACTTAGAGAAGAAAATATAGAAAACAGTTGTGAAACCCAGAATGAGGTTTAGGGAATGCCTGTTCAGGTGGAGTGGCATTTTGAGCATTTTGACCTTAGTTGAAATATGCATTTTGACCTTAGTTGAAATATATAGAATCGCACTTTAAGATATAGGAAAGGGAGAAACAAAACCTCAACACAAGTTCAAGTATCTAGATTTCCAAACACACAAGTACGCACATATGCTTCTTGGACAGATAGTCACAGAGACAATTCTACAAACCACTTTAAACAAATCACAAAAAAAGCATACATCCCAACGAGAAAAAGGTTACTGATAGAGCTTTGAGTGTTACTTACTCACAGAGTTTTGCTGTGCTACTACACATTTGCATTGACCGAATCATCTCACCTTGCTTGGCACTCTCGCCATTGCTAGATTCCAATAAAGAGGCTCCATGAAGAAACTTAAGGGCTGCCTGGAAGTAAAGACCTGTACTTTCAACACTTAATCCAGAATTCTGCAAAAGATACCCAAGTAGTGCCAAGAGTTAGGAAGATGAATAAACCAATTCCACAGTTGAAGAGGGGGAAAAATCTAGCGACCTTAAGGCGATCAGCCGAGTGTTTAAGATCCTTTGCCTCCTTTACAATCTTAGTGGTAGCCTAACATGAGGAATCTCTTCTGGCAGGAATTGTGGCATCCGAATCCCTGACCCTATGGCCATTAATTGTTGGTTGTCTTGATCTAATCGGCTGATTTCCATTCTGGTTCTCAGACCTTTTTGTGTGTTTTGAAGCCTTCAATGCATCATCACCCTCAGAAGCATCAATTAACAAACTATTTGCTCCATTCTTGAGCTCTATAGAGAGAGATTAACAAACTATTTCATCAATTAACAAGCTCTATAGAGAGATTCTTGAGCTCTTCATTAGACTAAATATGTTACTACTTTAATTTGAACCTCTACAGCTAGAGGGAAAAAATCCAGAAAAAGTTATGGCATTTGACTTGAGCAAAAGTTGCCACGACTCTAAAAGAGTCGAGAGAATAATATATTAGTTATGGACATGCATTGTCCATTGACTGTTGCTTCAAGCTCTGCTGCAAACACATTCCTAAGGACTTAGAACACAAGCAGAAGTTCAATTCAAATAAAGGTCATAATGCCTTTTTATATTGGTGTGGAAACAGGTGGTACAACCATGAGATGTCTCTTTAGAGGATTTAACCAAAGTAACTTTCTTTGGTGGCCAAGGTAAACAGGGTTGGGATCACAAAATATTTATTAATTTCTAAGTGTAGTTCATAGTGTTATTTTATTGGGGTAGTTTTTTTGTGGAATTAAAATCCATTATTCATACTAATAAAGAAACATAATTTCAAAAGAGGAAATGGTCTCCTGAGCTTTCAAGTAATGTTTTTAATAAATATATGTTATTGCACCCTTTCAACTGCCAACCAAAATTCTCATTTCAATGTTCATATTCCTAATTTGTATGTAGTGTGGAAGTCAAAACGGACGATGCTCCCTAATTAATAATTATATGTAGCTTGTATGACATAAATTCCTATCGGTATTGGTAAATGGAGATAATTGTGTGCTATAATGAAAGAGTAAAATTCATAAGGATTAATACAAACAAAACTTGGAAGAAAAAGAATACCAAAAGGAAAACTCAATGTGAACTTTTTTGCAGGGAACAAAATACAACAAAAATTGCAGAAGAAAAAAAAAACAAAACAAAACAAAAAGAGCAAATAATATTGAAAAAATCAATCATATTCTTACCTCCCCTTACTGATAAGCTGTAGGCCTCCAAAAAAACAACAACAGCAAACAAATAAACCTACAAAAACAATAAATGATAATGAAAAACAAAACAAAAACTACAAGAAATATATATATATAGTTTGCAGGAAGGGAACAAAAATTGCATATTTTCTATTTCTATTTTCATAGGCATATTATCAAACAAGTAGTATGCATAGGAAGAGGCTTTGCCATGAAGAGAATTTATGAGTTATTTTAGTGAGGCATATTATCAAACCATTGGTACGCATAAGTTATCCACACATTAACAAACATGAAAAACATACAAATCAGATATGAACATCTCAGTTGAAGACAAACAATGAGCATAAACATCGAAAACATGTATTGCAAGAAGACATAAGACAGGAAAATACACCGAGAGAGAGAGAAGATGAGCATACCAATTATTTTGTTTGCTACATGGTGGATGGCCTTGAGTATAGTGGATGGCGGTGGACGTGCAGTTCTCTACATTTATTCTTCGACTGATGAGAATGAGTCGTCTACGTAGCACACCATCGATGCTGCCAGTTGTCTTTCGTGAGACCACGTGGCTGATAGATTGCAAGCCCATACGGCTTTAAATTTGCATCAATGGTCGTGGGCGTCGCGAACCGCGAGCGGATCCTCTAGAGTAATCCTCTAGAGTGATCTCCTAAAGTGATAATCGGACGGATCTGCTTAATACTCACCAAAACGACGTCGTTTTGGTGACTATTTTGAAAGAAAAAAAAAACAGAATCAGGGATTTCAAAAGGGATTTCAAAATTCCTTTTGATATGTATACAGACGGAGTGCGAAGGAGTTCAAAATTCCTTTCGAGAGTGCGAAGGAGTTCAAAGGAGTGTTTGGGGTTCAAAGGACGAACGGCGGTAGAGGCAGACGAAGCACAACGGAGGACGAAGACGACGAACCACGACGGAGGACGGAGGACGAACAGGAATCTGAGGTAAACTTGAAATCGCAAAGTTAGGGTTGGATTTTGTTTGCTATTTTTGTTTGCTATTTCGTGTTAGGGTTTGGGATTTCAGCAAAATAAGGTAGATTTCAACAAAATAAGGGTCTGTGAGGATTTTGAGGAATGTTTTGCAAACACATCTGCAACAGAGTATGGTCTTTGGAGAGTTCCTTCAGAGTATGTCATATATTAAGTGTATAGGCAGTTAAAGTATACCAAAACTAAGTAAACTTTCTGCTGTTGTGGTATGATCCTGTTCCTTCATTAGTTGTCATGTGTTTTCTTCCTTTTTTGCATCCTTTTATGTCCATTCTCTACTTGCTGGATCCAGAAATCTGTAGCACAGGCAAAAAAATTATTAGAACTGTACCTTTTTAGCTCAAAGTTTTTCTTCACTCTTTCTATTTTCTTGCATTGGAATTCTCAAGTTCGGATGTCTGAAAGAATAGTTTTTATGCAATACAGCTATAGTGCTTTATTGATTAACTGATTCTTGTCCATTGTAGACTACGAACGAGCACTACAATTACTTCAGGTGGTTCGCAGACGACGACGACGACGACGACATTACCTCATCAATCCGTGCCAATGCTGAACCTCCGACAGATTCAAGAACAGAAGAAATTAATGATATAAGGAGAAGGGTTGGTGAGCATGATAGAAGACTTCAAAGGATTGAGAAGATTTTCAAGACAATCACTTATGTCATTGTATTTTGTGTATTTTTGTACTTTATCATGTAAATGACTTAGTTCTTAGGTTTTGGAATTTTTTTTTTTGTGCTTAAAAATCTGATGGTTTGCAAAAACAAGTGTGTAACATGTTTGATTGAGATGAAATGTTGAATGAACAGTTTGTGAAATCTATTACTTCAAGTTGAATGTTGTATAGCAGGTTTCTAAAATGTTGTATAATGTTGAATGTTGAAATGTTGAATAATGTTGAAATGTTGAAAATGTTGAATGTTGTATAACAGGTTTCTAAAATGTTGAATAATGTTGAAATGTTGAAAATGTTGTATAACAAGTTTCTGAAATCTATTGAAAATGTTGAAAATGTTGTATAACAGGTTTCTAAAATCTATTGAAAATGTTGAAATGTTGAATGTTGTATAACAGGTTGCTGTATTATATGAAATGTTCAATGTTGTATAACAGGTTTTTGAAATTCAGGTTGTTCATTGAAGTACCTTTCTCACAAAAGGGGTCAACACCTTTGTTGAAATGTTGAATGTTGTATAATATCAACACTTTTCCAAAAGGGGTCAACCTGTAGGTGTTTCGGAACATGTTCAAGCTCTCTCTTTTTTGTGTAATAGTCAATACATATCAATGTAACAGTTCTGTATCACTCTAAAATAAGTCAATCCTATATATCATTTCATCAAGGCATCCAAGGATTGGCAAACATATATCAAATGTAAAGCACAAATTGTGCATCAAGGATTGGCGAACATATATCATGATGAAACATGGCAACCCACCTACCATACTAAATCCTACTGCAACTCTAACTCTATTTCAGCAAAAAAATTTGCAACAGTTTAACTGTATTTCAGCAACATTTCAACTCTACTTCAGCAAATTTTTAGCAACAAATTCAGCAAAATTTTAACTCCATTTGAGCAAAATTTCAGCAACATTTCATCAACTCTATTTCAGCAACATTTCAGCATTATTGAAGCAACATTTGAACCCAAATTTGAGCAAGATTTGAACCAAAGTTTCAGCAACATTTGCACAGAAATTTCAACAAACATTAAGCAAAAATTAATCAAAAGTTCATCAACATTTGAACAGAAATTTTAGCCAAATTAAGCAACAATTGAACCCAAATTTCAACAACATTCCAAGGATAGTATCAGCAAATTTTTAGCAACAGTTTTATGAAAGGTTTTCAATATTACATATCCAACAAAAAATTCCCAAAAATTCCCAAAACAAAATAATGCTAAGATATTGGCGCGTGATCCACATGCCCATGCCCACGGCCACGGCCACGACCATAACCATATAATACCTCGAAAAAAAATAAAATAATATTACATCAAAGGAACCATAAAATAAAATGGAACTTTAAATGAATGAATGACAAAATAAAAGAAGAAATGTGAAAAATAAATTACTTCACTACATGCGGGACTATTTGAGGCTTGCGAGTGATAACTACTTGCATTGTTAAGCAATGCTTGATAGGTTCCATGGACGGAATACATCGATGGCATGGAAAAATGCATATTGTGATGAAGAAAACTTGGCTGCAACAATAACAAACCTAACCTTCCTCCATAAGTATTATAGAAATCATATGCTTCTTGTTCTGTATCAAATGTCATGCGAACTCTAGGCTTCCAATCACACTCACTCCCATCATTCTCATGATTGTTAGGTTCCATATCAATGTGCCAAGTCACTTAAAAAATAAAAAAGTGCTCAATATTAGCATAAAAACTGTAACTTATGTTTGTAAAATAATACAAACTGAATAAGATAATTAACAAAGAACAAACTGAATAATACAAACTAAATTATGGTCTTTGTTATGTATCACAGTGTGGTTTTCATTAAGATGTTCACTACAGCAGGTATTCATTGTTAAATTCAGGAAAAAAAAAACTGAATTTGCACTATATATGTTGCTTAATATATGTTCACTATCCAGACAACATGAGCATACAAAACTGAAATGGAATGGAATGTCATCAAATAGCAAATTAGTGAAAGCCATTTACTACTCCCAGAACCGAGACAAAGAAAGAAAATAAGAAGATATGCATCTAAGGTTGTATGTATATGCGAGCATGTGCAAGCAAGAGAGTCAAATGAAGCTGACAGACACTGAAAATCGCAAGCAGAAATTATCATTTCTACTACTTTTTTTTTCCAACTTGTTTGTTACATTACCCAATTCGAAAAATCTGTATCATAACTTTTTTCAACATTTTCAAAAAACCTGTTGTATGATAACATTCAACATTTCAACATTCAAATTATCATTTCAACATTTCAACTTTCAACATTCAACACATTGTTATCATTGAATCCGTATCATAACTTTCAACATTTCAGCTTTTTTTGAAATCTGTATCACTGAAATGTTGAATGTTGAATGTTATCATTTCAACATTTCAACTTTTTTCAACATATTGAGATGAAATATGTTGAATGTTATCATAACCAAAAAATGAAAATTTCAAATAAATCAACACCTGCATAAACAAATCGAAATACCTAAGTTGGACATCCACCTGTCAATTGAGTATGTTCGAACTCAAAACATATATTTAAACATTGTATGTTCTAAATACCTATTTTCTTCAATCGGTTGGAGTAGGGGCGACGACCACGGCCACGGCAGGACAGTGGCGACGGCACGACGGCGGCGACAGCGGGGGGACTGCGACGGTGGGGCAACGGGATGCACGACAGAGCAGCCTCTCTAACTCTTCTTCCCTCTCTCCTTCTTTCGTTGTTTTGCTTCTTCCCGCTCGTCTGTATAATTCTTCAGCCTGGGGGGAATTTTGAAATCGGAAAATCTGGTTTTGTTTTTTTTTTTTTTACTCACCAAAACGACATCGTTTTGTTGAGTATTAAGCAGAGCCGTCCGATTATCCACTTTAGGAGATCACTCTAGAGGATTACTCTAGAGGATCCGCTCGTGGGTGAACTAGGTAATTTGAGAGAGTTTTAAGGATACTAAAGTCATACGAAGCGCTAGATTCACCATAAGGTTTTCACGCTTTTTATATATGGTTATAGATACAAAATAACAATAATAATAATCTTATATATACATATAATATTTATTATATGAATCAATGTAATAAATAAAAAATCAAAAAACAACCATTTAATAATGTTAGGGACCAAACATAACAAATTGATCAAGAAATAAATATTCTAGGTGTAACAGAGAAAACTAAAATTTAATTTATATCGTATATTCTAATTTTCTTTTGTCACTTTTTAAATTACTTTTATAGATTCTTTTAAATTTTTTTTCATAAGAATTACATGGTGACTAATATGATCTGTTTAATCTTTCATAAAATAATATTATATTCTGACAGAAAACATTTATGTTTTAATTTAAGAAGTGATATTTACATTTTAACTTCTCTTATAATTTCTTTTCATTTTTTGTTCTGTAAATATTGAGCCTTTAAATTTTTATTATTTTATATGATATGATTTTTTTTCTAAAGCAGAAATTGAATCATGTGAAATATTGGGTTCATGATATTTATTTAACAAACTTCTCTTAATATTGGGTTCGTAATAATTATTTAACAAATTTGAAAAAAAAAAAAACAAAATATAAACTACTTGTAAAACATTGAAATTAATATAAAGGGACCTGTTACAGTGTGCAACCCCTCAAGGGTTGCACAGGATATGCAACTTCATTATTGGCCATTGGATTACATAAATAGATCATGACCATTGAATTCTTTAATTTTGAAAAATTGGACACCAGAGCAACCGGTTGACCCATCTCTATTCTCTCTTCTTCCAGAGTGTATTCTCTCTATACTTTCACTTTCGTGTCTCTCTCTGTGTCGCCCCCCCTCTCTCTCTCTGCTACCCTCTCTTTACTGCACTCATTCCTCTCTCTCTCTGTCTCGCCTGAA